AAAAAAAAAAAAACCTTTAGCCACCGATGTTTTTTCCATGGAATTTGACTCCCTACTATTGAGCATTGCCCACAGCGATAGTCAATATCGACAAGACCTAGACAATGGTAATCCATCTTTGGGTCGGCGACCAAGCTCGATTCCATCAATCTGACTCTGACCTTCCCGTTTGCGGTTGTCTTTGGACGGTTTGTGCGTGCGCTACCCTGCCTATCCTCCCTCAGGTGCGATACAAGAATGGCTGCCATGGTGCGGGTGCTGTGCGAGTGCCGGGCACTCTCCGACTCGATGCCGCCGATCTGCGATGACGTATTCGACTTTCTTGCGTCGATCGGCGTTCGCCTTCGGCATCTGCCAGTGATCTACCATGGATACGACCTGAGGAAGCATTCGAAGCAACTCGCTGTGTCTGCCGAGTCGCTCGTCTCCCTCGAGGTGCAGTCAATTAGCAAAGGTACGTGGCGGAGGCGACGTGATCTGGCAATGTACGTTGACAATGCTCTCTCAGCATCATGAGTCGATCTCATGCCCGCTGTCAACGTTTCAACTTGCGTGCCCTGTCGTTGGATGGCGAACTCGATGACCAGCCAGTGTCTTGTCTCGCGTGTCTTTGCCGAAGCTAGTCGAGGTCACCATTGGGTCGTGGCTACTCGAGTTTGTCTCTGTCCAGGATAGATTGCATAGCATCGACGATGACTGTTTTGCACAGATGGACCGCATCTTCTCCGACCGTCAGTTTCCTGCTCTCAAAAATTCACGCTTCTCCTTCGTTGCCTCGCCGAGTGTTCCAGCGAGGCGATCGTCGTTATATCCGAAGCTTCCAGCCTTGCATGCCAGTGGTCGCCTCCTGTAAGTCGCCATCTCCGTCATTGATTGTATCTACACGTCTAATTCGCATCAAACGACTCTTGCACTTATCCTAGATCTTCTGTAACCGTCAAGATCGAAAACCTCAGGCCTCAGCTTTGGTAGGCTGTATTTGTTCGCCATAGCCTATCCCTGTACGATTTGTCACATCCCCCACAACCCTCAGCTCCCTCCCTGCCCCACCTGGATACATCGCATTCACAGGCCTTGGAATTTCCAATGCAAGGACGAGCTCCACGCACGCGTATGTGCGTGTACTTGTGTTCGTGTCGGACAGCTGTCGGGCAGACATCCCACCTGGATTATTCTGACGTCACTGACCTTGGCTCCTCCTGTTAACGTATTGGCAAGACTGGACAAGTATAGTGCGCCCATCCTGTCGTCTTTTTATTTTATGTAGTACGCTTTTCTTCTCATATCTCATACTATTTTACTCATTGTCCTTGCCTTCCCGTTCATCTTTTTTACATATCCGATGCCTGTCACGCCGCTTCCATGCTCTGACTAGCATACACACACATCCCTTCACCTGCAGTGTACCCTCCTACGAAACCATTTGATCTTGTACTATTTGGTGCTCTCTGATCATCCTCACCCTTTTCACGCATCCCTCGTTAATCCATTCCCGTGCGCACTTACTGAGCGTAGCTTGGAGTACTTTCCCACAGAAATCCTGCGCACATTATTGCCTGCCATACGTTTTTCTCTTGTTTCCTATTAGTGCTTTCTGTAGAGTGCATGTGCATCACCCCGCACGCTTCACAGCGCTCCAGTCACCCCGCAAGAGTCTGGTTTCTGGTGCGGGTCAGGTTAAAAATGAGGTTAATGGATTTGTTACCAGTGTCTGTACGTCTCGCCAAAAGAGGTTATACACGATGCATTATACAGCGAGCATGACTGTGAGTTCTCCCATAGGCAGCCCAATATCCATTGCTTTTAGAAGACACTTGTGAGTGTAAACACGGCGTCGTGTTAGCCCGCTTGATGAAGCACAATCGGTGTCGAGTTCGAATGACGCTCTGCACGCCAGTATACAATTTTGTACGAAGAGCTTCGATGGTAATTCCAATCCGACTGCCTTGCAGACGGTTGGGCATTCGGGGTATGATCATGACGAGCTCAAATAAGTCACCCGGATCTCTATAGTATGTCTGACTCGAGAATCTTCACATACAGATCTGCTCCAGATGTCGATTGTTCCGGATCACGATGGCAGGTTTTCTTCATTCACTGTACAACCGGCTTGGGCCCACGTGTTGTTACAGTCATCAGAATACTGCGGGCGTCCCGTGCCCTATATGGGGATGCAGGATAAGTATGATTATTAAACAGGCTCGCTCAGTAATAAATACGCAGTCCGCAGGATGCAAAGAGTAAATCCTTGCGATAGGGAAGTAGTATTGCGCATGTCGCTTCTTCAAATGCGGCTACAGTACACAAGTTCAAGTTCAAGCGCTGGGCGCCGCACCGCCGGGCTTGTTCCACGGATGATCTTCACACCGGCGTAGATGGATCGGCGCATCCTACGATGGATGAATATGAGGCGATGCCATCACGGTGAAGTAAACAGCGAGTCCGTAGGGAAATAGAGTATGAAAGCAAAGCCAGAAGTACTTTGTGCGCACGGACACTCGAACAAACAAGGCGGTCCTAGTGTATGAGTGAGTACGAGGAGGATGATGAAATTGGGAGCTCCAGAGCAGGTTATGGGACTCCTTTAGTCAATTAATGCGTAGAAGCCCTTCTCGCTTATCTCGAACATGTAACATGGCATTATATCCATGGAAAATTGAAACGAGCGTGATATGGATCAGCTCGGGGGTGAAGAAAACCATCTCCTACTCTCGCCACGTCGAGCTTGACGCAGAATGATCGCAAGTCGACAGCTGGCGTGAAATCCTCTGAGAAGGGCGAGAGAACACCCAGAAGACATCAATCGACCTCGCACTATAATTTGCACACCACCTTGATTACCACGACGCGTCTCATGCACGACCTAGCTTTCTAGGTCATCGCGAGTAGCTTCATCTATCCGTGCATGTTCTGGAAGACTAACTCGACCTTAATGCGTGGTGTCTCATATCAATGCCGCTTCGTTCACGAAGTCTAGCGCACGATCCGACGGGTACCGGTTTAAGATATACTGCTCATCACGCCCCAGTGCTGCTGAACGTTCTCCAAGTCAGGACCCATGTTGCAGTGGAGAACATTGCCGGCGGTCGATTCGGCCCGGGGATCTACAAGTGTCGCAACTGCCAAGAAAGGAAATGGCGGGCCGTCTGCAGCATGATCCAGTGTGCGTCGGCCGAGCCGGGCCCCAGGTCAGGCTCCTGCCCATCCGATCTCCGGGAGGAGAGGGACTTCATCCCACCAGCGGATTCTTTCAGCCACATCTCTTCAGCCACATATCACGTAAACACGTGACTGTTTCAAACTCCACAACGGACACAGCGAGCAGCTCCGAATGCTTCTCTATAGCAGGTGAGATGCCGAAGGTGCGCGCCAATCGACACGAAGAAGTCAAATATATCATCGCTGTATCGCAGATG